CTCCCCTCCTAATTTCTCTTTCCCCCTCCTAATTTCTCTTTCTCACCCCCCCTCCTAATTTCTCTCCCCCCCTAATTTCTCTTTCCCCCTAATATCTCTCCCCCCTCCTAATTTCTCTTTCTCACCCCCCCTCCTTTCTCTTTCTCACCCCCCCTCCTTTCTCCCCCCCTCCCCTTCCCTTTGCTGTAGCGTGGCCGAGCCCTGTATAGTCCGCGGGTACAGGGAGCAGCTGTCTCCTGTACCCGGCCGGACTAACAGGAAGTGCGGACGCACCGCATGGACGCACCGCCCGGGCAAATCTACAGCCGCCTGAGGCTCTCTACAGAGCGCTCGGGCGGCTTCAGCATGGGGGGGGCGGCGCCCCTGATCATGGCACCCCCCATCCTGGTGGCACCCGGGGCGGACCGCCACCTCCGCCCCCCCCCTTAGTACGCCACTGTGTAGAACGGCGTCCTCCTGAGGTGTATGAGGTTGGCTTCAGTGCAGGGAAGCAACCCGCAGCATCAGACCAGCAGAGTGGTCATCACTCTCCATTTGTGCTGCACCTCATGCCTGTTTGTGGGACTTAGAAATAAGCACCACCATTATTTTGTGTAAGAGCTCCACAAAGGGATTGCATAGGGTTTTTTTTTTTCAATAAACAGTGTTACACTATATTTGTTTTTTTCCTGTTTATAATGTGGCTACATACTTTCCTCTAGACTGGAGATTGAAACCACTCGGTAACACCACAGTAGTTTGTGTTATCCAAACTATACCCCCTGCATTTTGGAATATATCCTTTTAAAACCAATCTTGACTTTGAGACTCTCACTAATCAGTAATTCTATTTTTTATGCTCTTTTCTCCATCCATTTTAGAAGGGGAAGATCGCCTCAGCGCTGATACTTTTTATTTTTTGTACTGGCTTGGAATCCAACCAATCAGAGTGCTCTGAGTCATTTTACACAGCATGGGAAAGTTCTTTGGAATTTTCCCATTGGATTCTGAGTCATATTATCTCCTGCAAAGCTGTGCGGGTGTCAGGGTTTCTTTGCTATTTTAAACAGCACCCCTTCCTTTTTCAGTGTCTGAGGTTTCAGGTGTGATTAACGATCAGCTCCTTCAGCATGTTGCCACGGTTACTCACCTGAGAATAGTAATCAACCCTGCTGCTAATCAGTTCAGCCTTTTTAAGTAGCTAATCCCAGAACCTCCTTGCCCTTGCGTGGTTTCCTGTTCCCTAGAAGTCTCCTTGTTCCTGTGTTTCCTGTTTGCTCCTGGTTCCTGACTCTCGCCTTGTTCCTGTGTTTCCTGTTTGCTCCTGGTTCCTGACTCTGGTCTTGTTCCTGACTCCGCTGCCCTCCGGTCTCCTGATCCTGGCTCGTCTGACTACCCGCTCTGGTGACTAACCCCTGCTGGCCTCCTGGACTTTGCTCTTGGTTATTTCTTTATTTGTTATTTATTAATAAAGGTGTTTTTGCATCTAGTTCTGTCTCTGTCTGGTTCCTGGTCCATAACAGCGGAGCCCACACTGGGTGAACATGAATTATTTTTTCCGGCTTTTTTTTGTGCAGCGTTTTTTTTTTTTTTGCGCTATGGTTCCTTTTTTCTATTTTAATAGTTGCGACGGGACAAGAATTTATTTTTATTTGGCCTTTTTTGGGGCTGAAGAAAGAAAAGGAAAGAAGACATCTAA